CGCATTAGATGCCTTCCAAAAGTTAAACAAAGTATTAAGATACAGGAATATCTCATTAGAAACAATGAAAACAGAACTGAACTGTTATGTAATATCAGTTCTCCTATATGGCAGTGAATGTTCGACAATCTCCTCACAAATCTGATTCTACAGAAGGCTGCTGAGAATACCATGGACCAAACGTGTGAGCAATGACGAAGTTTTATCGAAAATGAAAACAAAAAGGACACTTATACTTAACATCAGGAAGAAATAGTTGAAATTTCTAGGGCGCATTATGAGGAAAGAGCGCTTGGAAATTTTGATACTCACATGACAGATTGAAGGCAAGAGGGACAGACGAAAACAACGCATAACCTACCTACCTAGCTAGCTTGAGTAAATGGATGACGGAGCCAGGTTTAGGAGATATAACAAAAAGATAAAATTTATTAAGATCTACAAAGGACAGGAAATTGTGAAGAGCCATGATCGCCTATATCCTGATGGGACACGACACACAGAAGAAGAATTGATTTGTCTTTTAATTAGAATAGAATTTTTTAAATCAAAATTATGGTCAGTCTCACTATGGTGAGCAACTAATGCATTTAGTGCGCTGTTCTGTAAAAGATCCTTTCTGAGTTCATGTAATCTTTTATTTAAATTCATTTAGATTTCTCCTACATTTATATAAATGCTTGTGTCTGTAGCTGAGTGTGTAAGGTTTTTATAAATCCATTGATGTTCAACGGAGCTATAATCTCAAGTATTATATACGAAGGATTGCTTTTCAAAAAATGATATTTGGTCAGATTTAAATAAAATACATTGCAACAGAATTAACAAAAAACGAATGTCACTGCTATCGATTTACTGATGTCATCCTAAATGCAATATATTGATTCACTAAGCAAAGCTTAGATGTGGCACAAGGCCGAAAGTGTGGAGCACCGCGTCGAAGGGCCAACCGGAGCACGATATAAAGCGTAAAGGATAACATATCAGTGTTTCAAGTTGTTAGTTATTTTATTCATCATAAATACGGCCTTATTCCAAAATTGCATTCGTCCAATAAACATCTACTCTCTGCGCCAATCTTTCTCTTGTTCTTCGACTGAATCAACGAGCAGACATTAAAGAGAAAAGAAAATTACACACTTTATTCTATTATATATAAAGACGTGTAAGCTGTTGTATGCTGAGAAAAAATAGTTATCTAGAGGGATGAAACATTTCTAATAATTGTGTTTACAATTCTTAGACAAACATCAGCGATAAGTCGGTTTTAACGACACAATACACTTGCCATGGTGCGATGATGAGTGATCTACGCTTACAGGACATTGCTAATAAATTTGATCTTCAAATAATTCTAATTTTTTAGCCTTGTACCACACATATTTTTGATAAATATTCAAGCATATTTTAATTATGTATTTGCGCACTCTCTAATTTTGTATAACACGTAAACAAAAACTGATCTGATAAAACTACTTCGAAATTTGTTTGCTGACTGTTAGTACCATTTTGTATAAAGTCTTTTAGGCATTATATATCTATATTTCTGAGATGAGGTATTATGTACACTATTTACATTATTCGGACTATTGTCCTCATCTTTGTCGCCATATTTATTAGAATGTTTCGGCCGTTGTAATGGATGTCAGTTATCAATTATCCATTAAACATGGCACGTGGAACTGGAACAGTCTACTCAATTGAGCGAAATAAAGGGTTCAGTTTGACATTTCAACCACCTGAAGAGGGCCGGAGCGTACAACGGCCGAAACGTTGTAATAAATATATAAATAGTATCTTTTAGGCATAAAACTAAAAATCTTTGTGATAGTCATCTTGATAAGATTACAAAAGCGTCCCTTCTTAGAGAGGAATTAATTTACATATGTGATGCCTCGCCAGTTGCGCAGTAGTTTAGAAAGTTTAATATTCACAAGATGCCCTACATTGTGCCATACTAAGCTAAGCTTAGTAATATTTTTTAAATCGAGTTCATCCCAAGCATGGTAGTAAAGCAACTGAGATAAAAAGGGTTACTGAGTGTGGAAGATTTAGAAACAGGAACATTGCTAAGGAAAGAGAACTAAAGAAGAGTAACCAGGAGGGCAGCAGATAGCGACTGACATTACATTTACATTTTTAAAGAGTTGGCTGGAAAGTATGGAGACGGAAGGGAGTTCCATAAGCGAGAAAAAGAAACTGTTAGCATAGAATTTACGGTTATATCTAGCCAACTTAACTGTAAATTGGTGAGACCTCGTCGCAAGTCTAGTACTTTGTTTAAATCCAAAGAGTCTAGGAACTATAACGAAGGGTGATATTTATTTGTACAATGATACAAAATGTGGCACAAGGCCAAAATGGGGAATGGGAAAAAAGGATGGTTTTCTGTTTTAACATAAAACTTAGCTAGCCACAAACACTGACCCAAACATACCACAATACTCCTTACAGCAAAACAACACATTCTTACTTACCTTTCTTACTACATCCACCATAATACCACAACGTCTCTATGAAAGTCCTAAATAGTTTCCATATATACTTTCGGGTGTGGAATAAAATAACAATAATGTAGCGAAGAGCTCATTCGAACAATTACCATGAAAGTATTTATAGAAAAAGCAAAGGGAGGTAACTTTACGGCACTGGGAAAGTGACTGAAGCCGAGACTCCAGATCAAGGTTTATATTATTACTGATTCTTCTTTGGATTTTATCAAGGAGCTCTAGATAGATAGCAGGAGCACTGGTCCATATATGGCAGCAATATTCTAAGCATGGATGAATGATAGACTAATCGATATTTATATGAACATATATTATCTAAGCGTAAACCACGCTTCTTTTCAGATTCTGGCCTCAAAATTCAAGTAACATTTTGTATGATAAACTTTTATAGATGAAATGATCAACACAGTTATAACTATTGTCCCTACACAACAGGCTTTGCCCTTTTGACTTTTTATTTAAATAATAATCATAATAGCAATAATAAATAATAGACTTAACATCGTCATCGCTAATACTATTGCAGTTTGCGTAACAAGCATTAATAAGGCACTTAAAAGCTGAAAATAACGATAAATATCATATTTATAATTATTATTCCTTCTAGCGCGGTGAAGTAATGGATAGTGGCTCGATTGAATAATCGGAGAGATGAGTTCGAATTCCTGTCGTAGTTCATTGCATTCATTTATGTCTATGCGTCATCTCGAGAAAGGTATGAATCCATCACTTCTCCCCACCACCTCAAGTCATGGGTAAAGACTGAGTCCTATAGCCTTGGGTGGCAACCAGTTTAGGAGAAGGAAAAACTCTGAATTCCCAACGATCCTCGAAAGGACTCCGTCAGGCTATCTTGCCCAGGAAACACCACTGCTATTGCAGTACATAGTGTCTCTACCACTCTAATGGGTTACGGGTCTCGTGATAGTAAAATGCCTGTTCTTTTTTTTATCTAATTAACCCACGCCCCACTGTGTCAGTTTAAACTACCCCTTTTTTTGTTCGTATATTTATACTATAATTATAGATTATACTTTTGGAAAATGAACATTTCACTGACATATACTGAAAATCTTTCAAGTTTTCGTTTGAATTTTAAGAAAATAAGAACTTTAAATAAAATGGTCACAATAAATAGAAAAAAAAAAAAACGAAGGCATCTGTTTAAACTGACGCCAAGAGAATATACTAAGAGAATAATAATAGACATGTGTTATTCAAAAGTAGCTGTATAACTGAAAATTGTACAGATAAATGTAAAATATAACGGAATGTTATAATAATAGCTTGAGCGTTGCACGTCATATGACGGTGCTTTAATGTTGTAGATATACTTTTGCCTTTTGGAAGAATATCAAGTTTTTAGCTGTTTTGATCATCCATACTTCAGCTGACTCATGAGACGCTGATCCTGAGCTGATCCACTTGATGTTTGAACTAAGTTGGCAGGTAACAGACATCCCCTGTAAACGTACGTATTTTCAAGTAAAATGTAATATTTGTCAGTATCTTAGTTAAATATTTATGAAATTAATTTTCACAGATTTCTACTTCTATAAAGGTTACTATACTTTATAACTGTTAGTCTGCATTTCACGCCAAGTGCACCTCGACGTGGTGTAATGGTTAGCAAGCTTGTCTGGCTAGATAAATTACGACTGAAAAGTGAGTTCAGTCCTCACTAGGTGCCCCGTACTTTTGTCCTTGCGCCACATCTAAGCCACGTTTAGAAAATAACATCTATATTGATCAGTATACGGATTACTATTCGGATCACTATTTGGTGGTTACTTTCCGAGCGAGTATTATGAAGTAAGTACTATTAATGCGAGTGTTATTCGAAGGCGTTTGACACCAGTATTGTTCAACGGTGTTACTATATTTGTATCTACGATTACAAAGTCTCTACTACAACGAGCATTACGAAAGTGACAAAGAGTATTCGTTGACATCACAAAATATTATTATGATTCATGACTTGCTTTCTCCTTTCGGGTTTCTTAATTCGACAGGCAGTGAGCACTGTTGATTTTTGTTAAGATAGGTGTCCTTTTTTGCAGGTTTTGTATTAGCAGGGTTCTTTTGGTACTTCCCGTTTGTCATCTCTCTCTCTCTCTCTCTCTCTCTCTCTCTCTCTCAATCTCTCTCTCTATATATATATATTATGCTTAATTTAATTATATATTATGGTGACATTTTGCGCTCAAGAATCGCGCTGTCAAACAGAGAATATTTCACATCCCTTGAGAAAGACCTGCGCGCCATGGGCGACGGTTAAGGCTCAAGTTTATTGTCGTCTAGTCATTTGATAGGTCGTTTCTACTTAACGTTTACAGGTGTAGTTTTATTATTTTTAGTGTCGTTTTTTAATTGCTGAGAATGTCGAATGTGTGATAGATATGGCCGATTTATATTAATTGGCATTTTTTGGTGATTTCGTGTGGACAGTTGTGCGTACGTAGATAAGTTGGAAGAGATTCCTTACTGTTATTAGTTATTATTGAAAGCAGGACGAAAAAGAGAAAAATGGAAAGAGAGAGAGAAAGAGAGAAAGAGAAAGAGAGAGAGAGAGGAAGCTGAAGGATATAAAGTAGAAATAAAACAAGAAAATGTTTAAAAAAAAAAGAAGTAAAGAAATGAAATGGAAGAAACCAAAACTTGAAAGAAGTTGCAGAAAAAATAGAGAAAGAAAAGGAAAAAAAAGAGTAAAGAAATGTAAGGAATCCAAAATTAAAAAAAGAACTAAAGAAAGAAAGATGTAAAGAAAGAAAGAAGGAGAAGAGAATAAAGGAATTTAATGAATCCAGAAAGAAACAAAAAATTAATGAAAGAAACAAAAAAAGGAAGAAAAAGTTAAAAAAATGAGTAAAGAAATGTAAGGAATCCAAAATTAAAAAAAAGAAGTAAAGAAAGAAAGAAAGAAGTAAAAAAGAAAAAAAGAAAGAAAGAAAGAAAGAAAGAAGGAAAAGAGAGTAAAGAAATTTAAGGAATCCAAAATTTAAAAAAAGATCTAAAGAAAGAAAGAAAGAAAGAAATAAAAAAGATAGAAAGAAAAGAGAGTAAAGAAATTTAAGGAATCCAGAAAGAAACAAAAATTAATGAAAGAAAAAAAAAGAAAGAAAAAGTTTAAAAAATGAGTAAAGAAATCTAAGGAATTCAGATGTGAAAGAAAGAAAGAAAGAACGTCGCAAATGACAAACAAAAGAACCATGATGAAGAGAGAGAAAGAGAGCGATTTGTAAGAAAAAATAATAATGATGAAGCGTAAGGAAAATGATTTAAAAAAAAAAGAAAACGGTAATAAAAGAAAAAAAAATAATATTAGTAAAAATCAACAAGAAAACATCAAGTAGAAAAAATAGGAAGAAGTGAAATATTTATAGCAATTGCTTATAGTAGTATTCTAATTATTTTTATAAAACGCAAAAGGCAACAGCAAAATCCTAAAATGACCAAAGGACACCCAAGAAGATTTACAGAATTTGTTGCTTTATTATCTTAAATTATTACTTCGAAATCAAAACAAAACACAAACTTAAATACGTGACAAAACGATGATGGCAAACAGAATGCGTTCTCCCAATTCGAGGAGAACATTGTCAGCAATTCTGTATTTATTCTTTGAATTCTTTCTCTGAAGAAATTATAAGCACGTAATTCTTTCAAGATGGATGCACCAGTTTTTAGGTTTTACCAGTTTTAAATTTCTGCTTAAACTTTTACTATTTTTTTAAATTTTATTTTTCAAAATTTCTGCTGTAGAGAGTTTTTGAAAACGTCGGTTCGTCTACAAAATTAAGATTCTATCAGAAAACCAAACAAAAAAACCCCCAAAAAACAACAACAACAAAAACAAAAAGCAAAACAAAAATAACTTACAGCGCGTGTGAATTTAAGCTCAATGGATATATTCATCTTTGAGCGCACGGGTGCGCAAAAACAAAACAAAAATAATTCGTTGTGCTCAAATAATTATGCGAACGAATGGAGTTTGGCCATACAAACCAATGGTACATCCATAAACCAGAATCTTCGTAGAGTAAAGAAACATACATCTTGAAATTCAAACAGCTCACCCAATTTAGGTGAGAAGACCAGATCTAGTCATCATTGACAAAGAAAAGAAAACTTGTCAAGTGTCAGAATTCACTTTTCGAAAGAAAAAAAAATGAAAAGTATTTAGAATTTGCGAAAGAATGGGACAATAAACGAAACATATGATTCAGTCGTAAGGATCGAACACACTACACTTAAGAATAGACTGAGATAAATTTATAGAAACGGCAGACACCCGCATTTTATGTATAAATATATATTACATATGTAAATATCGGAGAAAATTCAGTAGTCGTTTTATTTATATTAAATAAATTGTGCTATCCAAGTGAGATATGTGTCATATCAAGTCGAAGAATATCGTAAACTATAAATATCTCATAAAAAGAGCCGATGATAGAGAAACGAACTTTTAAAGTGACTTTTGCACGCAATTCGGACGAAAAAAAATTCAAATTATTAAATATTAAAATTAAAACTGTTTGCTTAATTGCAGTCAAGCAAATAATTTTCTGGAATTTAATATTGACTTGAAATATTATTCAAGTAATTTGCAAGTCTCTGGGGGAAGAGTTCAGACTCGAAGAAAACATTTCCGTCACAGAGATCGTCACTTGTTAACGTGGAATCCAAGAAACAGGATGTCTGCATTTATTTAAAAGCTTCTTACTATTTCAATTCCCTCTGCACCTTATGGACATTATTGAAGATATTAAGCCTCTCGGATAAGAAAGAAAAATGTTAAAAATGACGTACATGAAGTGTAAAAATAAGGAATGATTACATAAAAAGTAATGATTACAGAAACAAATATGAAAAATAATTTAAAAATGATTAATACCTGTTAAGAAAAAAAAACTTAAAAAAACAGACGAATGTTTGAGCTTGTAAGGAAGCTTTATTTAATGCAATTTGACTACTACCCATAAGTATTACCATTTTAGGTATTACCATTTTTAAATTTCGGCTTAAGCTTTTACTATTTTTTAAAATTTTATTTTTCGAAATTTCTGCTGTAAATATTTTTTGAAAACGTTGATTAGTTTACAAAATTAAAATTCTATCAGAGTTAAGAAAAACAGACGAACGTTTAAAACTGTAGTAAAACTTTATCCAATGCAATTTGACTACTGCTCATAAGCGAAGTTTGATCATTTCTTTTATAGTCGAGTAGCTCAAGGAGGAGACAACTATGGTTGCCTTCCATCACAATAACGAAGTAAAGGTCAGTTTTCCAGCCCTTTAAAAAAATGACAAAAAAAATTTATATCACTAGCTAGACCTTCAAATGTTTTCAGGTTTGAATGGTTTTTGGAACCATTGCAGAACACCTGGTGGAAATTATTAGTACGAAAGCATCGTGGTTATTATGATTACTAAGTTGACTGTCTTAGGAAAGGGCTCTTATTTAAGAGTTTTTCATTAGTTTTTTGTTTGTTTACAGTACTAGGAGATCCAAAATTGTCATCTAGAGTATTTGCTTTAGAGTAATTATTATGGTGGGTTAAAAATGTATTCATTAGTATTCCCAAACCGCTCAGTACAACTATTATTGTAGTGTTGATTAGTATCCTTTTTACATTTCCCTTCTTCGAAGATGTAAAGAAGGCAATCTTTTTCATGCAAATATATCACCCCTTCTTCCGGAAATTTTCTTGTAGATATTGTACTTTTTCTATACATTGTTACGTTTACGGGATTTCTTTGTTTTCCTTATCTCCTTTTGTTCTGAGATCTTGATATATTTATTTTTCTAGGTAATCTCGACCTTGCTCATCACATGTTGTATTTAGGATATTCTTCCAGTGTTACGTCTTCATCAGATATTTCGGAATCCTCTTGGCTCTATTGATCATCTGCAGCCATATCTTCATTTGTTTCAAACTATATGGTTATGTCTCCTTGTTGGTCTGCAAGATCATAACTGGGAATGCTTTTTATTCTTCTCCTCCGCATAATATTCTTGGGGGGCTTTATTTGATCTACATGGGATATTATGATGTTCTCATTTTTTGTTGTTATAATTGTCGTGTTTTCGCCTCTTTGCATTATAAAATTGGTTCTTTCTGGATACGATTCCTTATTCTTTTTGTGTCGAAAGAAAAAAATAAAAATGGGAGTGCCTATGGAAAGATTTTTCGTCCTTCCCTTTCCCATAATCTTCTTAGGGCCTTATTTGATCTGCATTTTATTTTTTGCTTACGGCCATATCACGTTGGAACACCAGTTTTTGTATGATCCCCAAAGTTAAGCAAAATCAGTACCTAGATGGGTGGCCGATTGGGAAGAACAAGTGTTATAAGCTTGGACGTGCGGGTGGTGTAACAGTTTGGAATTGGAAATCGGAGAGATGAGTTCCAATTGGGTTCATTATATTCACTTAAATACCCTTGGGAAAGATATGAATCAACCTCTTCTTAATTAGTAGACCTTGTTAGATTTATAGTTATTTTCTAAGCATAGCTTAGATGTGGCACAAGGCCGAAAGTATGGGGCACCTAGTGAGAATCGAACTCACTTTTCAGTTGTAATTGATCTAGCGAGACAAGCTTGTCAACCATTACACCACGCCGAGGTGCCCTTGTTAGATTTATAAACGTTTTCTATTTCTTCTTTATCTTATTCTTTCGAATTCAGATCAATATTTGAGCTGTATTTGATCCCAATTCATATATATATATATATATATATATATATATATATATATATATATATATATATATATAGAGAGAGAGAGAGAGAGAGAGAGAGAGAGATAGCGGCTTGGATTACGTGTGAATCCTCTTTTTCTCCCTCCAGCTATGGGTAAATAGCAGGACAGACTGGGTTCTATAGCCTTGGATGGCAACTAGTCTAGAGAAGGACAACTCTGAATTCAAAACCTGCGGAGGGTCGTTTGCGGACCTTGTGGCCCGTAGTGCATTAGGTCTCTGTATTCGGCCCTTCAAAAAGTGTAGATGGTCCTGCACGAAACCATCACCACTATAATCAAATCTCATGTGCTGTTGTAGGGCTGTCGGTTTCCTAGAACTGATCTGCTTGACTCTCATACGTCGAATTCGACGGGGAGAGTCGAATATATATATATATATATATATATATATATATATATATATATATATATATATATATATATATATGAAGAAATATAATCTTAAGGTGTGCTATATTTATGGGATAAAGTGCTCAATATCAGAGATAGAGCGTGTGTAAATATAAAAGTGAACATAGAAGTCAACACTTAGAGGCGAGAGAGAGAGAGCGAGATAGAACAAACAAACTGAGGCCTGATTTATGATTGCAATAGTCACGGTGTTTCAGGTCAAGTAAAAACTAAGAGTTCAAATATATTTTTCAAACAAGTTTTCCTCACTTAAAATAGTGACGTAACACAATCTTGCTACCTTCTACTTAACTTTGTGTTCTATCAAGAAAAGAAAATAAACAAATGTTTGATAAAACAACAAAAAAACAAGAGAAGAAAACAAACGCAGATTAGGAAGTTGGAAAAATAAAATGACAAACAAAACAAAGTAAAAAAGAAAACAAAGAATTGGAAAAATATCTAGAAGAAAACCAGAACTTATGATCACCAAAATTAAGAAAAAATCAGTACTTAGATGGGTGACCGCTTGGAAAGATCAAGTGTTATAAACTTCAATGTGCGAGTGGCGTAATAGTGTGGAATTGGAAGTCGGAGAGCTGAGTTCCAATTCCAGTTGTGTTCATTATTTTCACTTACACGCAAATACTCTTGGGAAACATATGAATCCACCTCTTCTTAATTAGTAAACCTTGTATCAGTAAAAATCATTATTATTTACAAAAATTCTTACAATTTAAATTTTTCCTGGCTTTAAATAACCGGCAAAAGATTGATATAGAAAAACAAATCTATCAAACATTTTTTTGATATGTTGTCGCTTCTTATAAAAATCACCCTTACCAAATCTGTTTCTTTATTCTTTTTATACCACAGTAATGGCTGGTAAGCTAATTTTGTCGACCGTACATGAGTGTAGTGACTTTGATTGCTCAGCTAATGTGGCCAAGTGCTAAACTAAGCTTAGAAAATACCATTAAGCTACTCGTTTTTTGTCAATTCACCCTAAGCAATGAAAAAATGCCAATAAAATGCAAAGGATAACTGGGGATGAAAGAGACTTTAGAAGGAACCGGAAACCCAATCCTAAACAGGAAACAAGGGATAAACCTTTACTCCTGTTCAAAAGATAGAGGAGGATAATGAACTGGGCAATAGGTGAATCTATCTACTCTTATTTGTCTCGAAAATCACGCGGGAAACATTTTAAAAGCTTCCTAAGCTATATATTATCAATCTTTGATGAGTAAATCTATTTTGTTATTATATTGTATTATTATAATAGAAAATTTATGATTTACAGAGAACGACAAAGTAGAAAGGAGAAGAGATCTGTTCGACTACATCAGTTATCATCATAGTGCAATGCAAAATACTTTTAAGCGACAGACATCTTTTCTGTTTTTAACCATTGTGCTAACAAATCATTCCATTTTATCTCTCTCTGTAATTCTCAGTCCTTTTGTCGCCTTTTCACAATTAAAGTTCAAAGGAGACAGTTAACAACTATAGGATACTGCTGTAAAAATGACAACAATAACATAGTAAAAATAGTCAGCAATATATAAAAAAATTGATTGGTGGCGATTAATTCCACAAATGAATCCATAGAAACTCGGAAAAAAAAAACAGCCACTAAAATTGCGCTAACATTTTACACACAAAGACGCACATTACGTAAATATTCTGAAAATTGTGGTAAAGTGCAGTTCTGTGTTGCCACTTTTCTCATTCGCCTTTTCTGATTATCATGATTGGCATTAAAGACAGGAGACTAAATAAGGAAACGCCAGAGGAAACTCAAAGAGTATATCAAAATAAATGAAGTTGGATGGCAAGGATAACATAAAATATAGAGTAGGATTTTAAAATATATGTTCTTGTTTGAATACTTAGCTTAGAAAGAAAAAAAGGATTGTGAAAAATGAGGAAAAACATGCGTGCAAAAGGAAAATGAGAGAGAGAGGGAAATAGACAGTAGTGAAAGAGAGAGGGAGAGATAGATAGATAGATAGATAGATAGATAGATAGAGAGAGAGAGAGAGAGAGAGAGAGAGAGCGACTCTCTTCCATAGTAAAATAATAGTTAAGAAATAAATACCTAATCATAATGGAAGATAAAGAAAGAATGAAAAGAAAATTGTTTATCAAAAAGTCCTCCCCCCCTCAACAAGATTGATGAGAATAGGAAGAAATCAAGTAGCTTGTCTCGTTGTTTAGCTTGTTATATATTTCACATCAGTGTCAAAAGGAGCCCAATTAAAAACAGATTTTATAGGCAGACAGTCCTTTTCTACTTGGGAAATTGGCGTAACACAATCTTCATAACTCTTCATTCCTCCCATGAGAAAGTATAGATAGAAGGAAATTAGAAATTGCAAAAATGGAAGGTTATATATACATATATAGTTACACTGTGTAATGCCTATCAGGTTCACGCTTCGCACTGAAATACACATGCACACAAAGCACACACACACAGACACAGACACACACACACACACACACATATGTATATATATATAAACAAGCACATATGCACATATATATAAACATACACCTTCGACGGACATTGCTAACCAGATGCTTCTTTGTGTATGAATGGTTAACAGCACATCTGATCATATATATCGAAACACGACTGCAATTGTATAGTGTTTTTGACATTTTTTTGATGTAATATCCTAAAATAAAGAATATTGCTCTACTTTGTATTGAGCCATCTTTTAAATCTAATGTTATGAACGGTGTAATTGTACTCTATTCGTTCTCATTTTGCGCATATATATATATATATATATATATATATATATATATATGGATAATATTAAATGGCGGCACACTCGAGGATTTTCCTTCTGAGTGAGTTATTTTCTTTTTTATGAAAGTGCCGCCATTGAATATTATCCAAATACTAATCTACACCCAGGTTTTTTCCTATTTCACCTTTCTTAACATAATATATATATATATATATATATATATATATATATATATATATATATATGTGTGTGTGCATGTGTGTAGGGTATATTTGGGCATTGTTTTTCATTTATACAGGTTTTGTTTGAGGATTTTATTTATTTATTCTTAAAATGATTTTTCCTCTATTTCGGACCACTTTCTTAGTTTCCGGTACATATTTAGATATAGATTGTGCAATGTCTGAGTACTTTCATTATCAAGGACATTTGTTTTTGTTTTTGCGCTCTGTCGGTTTCTTCATTTTCGGATATCGTGTTTCCGCGTCTTCATGTAACTGTTCGTGTCGTCGTTTCGGCAGAACGATAAAGTAAGAACAAATAGGAAACGTTTATAAATCTAACATGTTTTGCTTTTTTACAGCTATATCAGAGAATGAGATATGGAAAAATATTTTATGGTATTTTTAATTTTGTGTTTGATTTTCATTGGTTAAGCTGACTTCACGTCGAACAACGTTCGTGTGTAAGTGCATCATAATTTTAGTTTGTCTATGCGAGATTCGAATGATAATGTTGGAACGACCATATAAACTCTCGTAATACACAGGAACAAGACTGGTCATAACTTTGATTTTACAAATGTCACCCTAATTAAAAAAGAATATAATTCCTTACGTCGAAAATACTTTGGGGGAGGCCTGATAAAAAAATTATTAACTATAAACACGAATCAAAAACACTATATTACATTACTAACCTTTATTAAATCCATTCTTAAAGAGTCTAACATATATTTAATTACCATGACCGGCGTTGAGGTAAATTCGTCTCCAAATCAACACGCGGACAACTTCCAAGCGTAAATAATGCCTACCACACACACAGACATACACACAGACGCACACAGACACACACACATATATATATATATACATTATCATCTGAATCCTGCACAGACAAATTAGAATTATGATACACTTACACATATATATTATACACACGAACGCTGCTTGATAGTCAAATGCACGTGAAATCTGCTTAACCAATGAAAATCAAACAACACAAAAATAAAAATGCTAGAACATTTCCATATCTCATTTTCTGATGCAGCTTTAATAAAAGTGAAACGTGTTATTTGTTCTTTATTTTATCATTCTTTTGAATTCAGATGAATATTTGATCTGTATTTGATCCCAATTCATATATATGTATATAGATAGGTAGAATGAAATATATATATATATATATATATATATATATATATATATATATATATATATAGATATAGAGAGAGAGAGAGAGAGAGAGAGAGAGAGAGAGAGAGAGAGACAAACAAACTGAGGTCTGATTTATGATTGCAATAGTCACGGTGTTTCAGGTCAAGTAAAAACTAAGAGTTCAAATATATTTTTCAAACAAGTTTTCCTCACTTAAAATAGTGACGTAACACAATCTTGCTACCTTCTACTTAACTTTGTGTTCTATCAAGAAAAGAAAATAAACAAATGTTTGATAAAACAACAAAAAAGCAAGAGAAGAAAACAAACGCAGACTAGGAAGTTGGAAGAATAAAATGACAAACAAAACAAAGTAAAAAAACAAAAAACAAACAAAGAATTGAAAAAATATCTATAAGAAAACCAGAAATTAAAGAAAAAAAAAGACTAAAAAAAAAAAGAAGATAAATGCGATATGAATTAAGAGCAGTGAGTCCCTTTATTTTACAGTCCCCTACTTTTTAGAAGTAGTATTTATTTTATTTATAACAAGAGAAAAATAATGCAATGTAGCAAAATAAAAATATATATAATGTTAACATTATCCCAAATCTAAGGGCAGACGACCACACGCTGATACATTAATGTGCTCTGATAACAGTAAGTAGTTTAAAATCGAAAAGGAACACATAAAAAAAGGAAACATAAACAAATAAATAATTGAAAAGAATTAAATAGTTTCTCTAAAAGTATACGAAATTAAAAATAGTTTTGTGCCCGTCTCGAGTTGTATACGCGTGTGGGTATGTATCGTGGAGCGGCTTTGCATGGCGAGTAGAAATGGTGGGAATCGTGGAAATGTGGCATTCGTCAAATTCTGACATTTAGACTAACGGAAAACGGGTGGAGATTTTTTTTAAGTGGTAGGTGGCGTTACAGTTGCGATTGATGTTAGTGGGAGAGCAAATATGCACACATGCATTGCGTTTGCGCGCGTTGGTGTGTTTATAAAATGAAATTAGGAGGGTTTTAACTACCCCACGCCTTTTTCATGAACAGTACTTTTCAGTGCAATGAAGGAATTCGCTGACACCAGCAATGAATAGAACCGTATGGCATGGTGTCTGGATTCAGTGTGTGTGTGTGTGTGTGTGTGTGTGTGTGTGTGTGTGTGTGCGCGCGTGTGAGTGTGAGTGAGAGAGTGGGAGAATCAGTGTATGTAGGTTTAGTAGACGTGCTCGCCTCCAAGACAAAATCTAAACACGATAGCCCTAAGTAGCCACTGTGATCCCCACTGCTCTCTCTCTCTTTCTTTTAATTCTATTTTATAATGGTTATTTCTCATTTTCTGTGTGAGGACATGCGATACATGGCATAAAATCAGTATTCGGGAATGGTCGAGTACATCAAGGCAAAAGCTCTAGACATATTTCAATAAAAATTAGACATTTTTTTTCTTGTTTCTATTTTTATTTCTAATTAAAAAAAAATTGAGACTACTTAAATTGACTTGTTCGCTCGTAAAAAATAGTTTTTTTAGGGGTGGGGATAATTAATAAACTTACTGAGCACAGCTAATTCTTTAAAAATCTCGGGAAACAATTTGAAATTGCATTTATATTATGAACAGGACCACCATCGTAAATTGGTAAAATCAGTATCTAATGATTGCTAATCTACAAAATTTATTTCCTCGCAAATATTTCTCTATTTTTAACGAGCGGACGAAATTTAAATATTTTAGCTAACTTGGCATTTCTCATCCGGTAAATTCTTTGCTTTAATGTTTCTAAAAAAGGTCATCGATCGTCCATATCATTAGCTGGCAAATTTCGTTAAAGAGTTGGAAAACACTGTCTCTGCGTCATAAACGTATTTCTCTCGTTCAATTTTTCTCTTTCTGTCACTTTCTCTTCGCGCAAGCGCGTACGCACAATAGCATACACACACGCACGTACACGTTATATCTCCCTCCCTCAATTATAAACCCTTTTAGCTAATCTATCACCTTTGTTATTCTGTGATTTCCTTACTGTTGTCTCTTTCCCGTTTTTGCCGTTAATTTTGAGGAGAATAAATGTCACTTTCATTAATATTAGAAATTAAATTTGATTAAAAACGAGGTCTTTAATTTTTTACGCGGGTTATTTACGTAATGTTCCCAATACAAAATCTTTATTGACGCATATACAATGACCTCTAATCCCTCTTACCTATTTTCTTATGATGATGATTTATAACTTAATTTTTTTTTTATCATTGAATGACTGCAGTAGTCTAGAATGAATGGGGAAACTGTTTAATGTTTAGGTAGGCTCGAACCCCAAATAAGCATATAAATGCTTATTTGGTTTGCTTTACGAAATCAATGATAGTCATGAGTTTCGTATCGTAGAGTTCCTCAAATTTTCGAATTGCGATATATGATGAACAGAAGTACACAGAGAACTTTTTCAAAGCTCGACTACATTCAGATACTTTAAACGGAGGTCATCATAGAAAAGAATACGCCACACTTTATATTTTTCATAATTCTTTGCGTTTTTCTTTTGATGTTATCATTATAGACATTCTAGATAAGATTGATAAGCGTAGTTTAATGTGCCATAAAGGCCAAAAAGAGACAAAAAAGGAAAGAGTGTCTCACCCATCTTTCGAGTGGAAGAAGATCTGTCTGCTTTGAAAGTTAACATTCGGATTCCTAGCGTTTTATTTTACTTAGGATCAAACACCAGCGATCAGCACCTTAGTTTTGTGATGTCAACGAATACTAGTTGTCACTTTCGTAATGCTCGTTGTAGTAGAGACTTTGTAATCGCAGATACATCTATAGTACGCCGTTGAACAATACTGGTGTCAGACACCTTCTAATAGCACTCGCACTAATAGTACTTGCTCGATAAAACACTCGCTCAAAAAGTAAAAACAGTATTGATCCGAATAGGGAATAGTGCAGAGAAGAGAATAGCGGTCCGTATATTAATAGAGAATAGACTAGAAATATCGATCATTAATCGTCAGCTATTTCCTACATATATGCGTTTCCTCTATGGTCACGTGGTCTACTTTATTCAATAATGGGGTCGCCCGTGTTTGCACACTAGCGATCTATGTTCAAACTCAAGTGTTGGCAGCGACACTTTATTTCTATATAACACCTAGGGAAATACTTAACTAACTCAGTTCCTCGGAATCAATCAGAGTCAATTTTGTGTCGTGATTTTCATCACTAATAAATCTGACTGTCTTTTCGCAGAAGTTCATTGAAAAACCGGATAACCAGTTTTAGATTTGAAATTGGGAAACACTTAGAAAACGTCAGTTACAGCATTTTACTCATATCATCCTGCAATCAATTTAAACTGATAATTTTGTCCTTCATATATCTGAATTATAATTATAAGCTATAATTTTGAAAAGTGAAAATGTCACTAAAATATTTGAGAAAATTTCAAGGTTTTCATTTGAAATCGAAAAAATGTTAACAGAATAGCCGCAATATATGGGGAAAATTAGGTGTCATTTTAAACTGACGCCAGGCTGATATGGCTTAAAGACTTGATTACCAAATCTTTATTTGTGTATCGAAATATTTGAAAACACGACCTGATCTGTTATGTCGTAATTATTTGTGTATAATACGCACCTCTAACTTTGAGTTACAAAACGCTGGAAAGAAACATCTCTGGTGTATAATGCACACTGATTGTAGCAACTAAATTTAGCATAAATTTAACATTTGTTTAACTTTTCATTTGGTTCATAAAGAAAAATAAGAATTTATATAGTTTATATAATGTCTTGAAATTTATATTGTTTACATTAGACAAAATGAGTGTTTAGAACCAATGCACGGGCAAATTCATACAAAGATATAATAAGCCTGAGATGAAACAAAAAGCTTAGAATAGGAAAGATAAAATTTATAAACAAACACAGACTCTAGTGAACATTTATACTTAAAATCAGAAAGAGAGAGTTGAAATTTCTAGGACATGGAGAAAAAGAGTTTGGAAAATTTAACACTAACAGGACATTACTGAAGGGACGAAGAGCAGAGAGAAGTAGCAAGTAACCCAATGAGTTGGTGTAAATAGATGGCATGTCCGGGACAACAGGGATGTTATAAAGTGAAATGTTGCTGAAAGAAAAGGAAGTTGTAGAGAGTAATGATCGCCTGCGCTTGAAGGTATACGACACATAAAAAAAGTCATCTTATGAAAGTTTGCTAAATTAGTAACGTCCGGAAAAAAAACACGAAAAATTATGAAGAATGTACAGTGTGACATGTTCTTTTTTTTTTAATTATTCATTTTCACCTGAAACCTGATAGATTCCGTTTAAAGTATTTTAATGGCTACTGATTAGTTCTCTGTAGCAGCGTAAAGCAGAAGTGAACATGACTACTACGTCCGTGCGCGGAATAGAGAAATATAATTTTTCAGTTAGTGGGCGAACTCACATAGCGCAGATTTCGAAGACAACTTACTGCAGACGGCGTCGACATTGAAGATGACGGAGTCATCTACGCTAACAACAAAGATGAAACTATCTTGGCGTCTATCTTTGATACGGACAGCAGTGAAGCAGACATCTTTTTGAGGAAGAAGGACAAGATGACTTTGTGGACGATGACGATTATCGAAGATAACATATACATTGCCTATGCTGACAAGGAAGATAAAACTCTCATGGCGTCTATATTTGATACGGACAGCAGTGAAGCAGACATCTTTTTAAGGAAGAAAGACAAGATGACTCTGTGGACGATGATGACATCGAAGATAATGTATACATCGCCTATGCTAACAACAAAATGAAAATGTCGTGATATCTATATTTAATACGGAGAGCAGTGAAGCAGACATCTTTTTCAGGAAGAAGGAGAAGATGACTCAGTGGACGATGATAACGTATACATCACCTGTGCTGACAAAAAAAGATAAAAATCTCATGACACCTATCTTTGATACGAATAGCAGTGAAGCAGACATCTTTTTGAGGAAGACGGACAAAATGATCCTGTGGATGGATGATGACATCGAAGATAACGTATACATCGCCTATACTGACAACAAAGATAAAATTGTCATAACGTTTACCTTTGATACGGACAGTAGTGAAGTCGATTAAATATCTTTAATATATGTGGGAATAGTTTTTCCTTAAACAAATACTGTGCACTATTTACATTATTCGGACTATTGTCCTCATCTTTGTCGTCATATTTATCACAATGTTTCGGTCGTTGTACGCTCCGGCCTTCTCCAGAAATTCATACACTGATGTCGTCAAGGACACATGGCACAGTTGATAAAGGCGTTAATTAGATCCAGTGACAGGACCCAAAGAGTGTGAGTTCAATACCTGGTTAAGGCAGTGGAGAACTTTCAGAAGGGAATTAACAGGAGATAACTGACATCCATTAGACATGGCACACCAGAGAGCGAAATAAAGGGTTCAGTTCGACATTCCAAACACCTGAACAAGGCCGGAGCGCACAACGGCCGAAACGTGATAAACATGACGACAAAGATGAGGACAATAGTCCGAATAATGTAAATAGTGTACATAATACCTCATCTCAGAAATATAGACAGATACTGAAAAGCCGAAACGTTGTAATAAATATGGCGACAAAGATGAGGACAATAGTCCGAATAATGTAAATAGTGTACATAATACCTCATCTCAGAAATATAGACAGATACTGAAAAGCCGAAACGTTGTAATAAATATGGAGACAAAGATGAGGACAATAGTCCGAATAATGTAAATAGTGTACATAATACCTCATCTCAGAAATATAGACAGATACTGAAAAGCCGAAACGTTGTAATAAATATGGCGACAAAGATGAGGACAATAGTCCGAATAATGTAAATAGTGTACATAATACCTCATCTCAGAAATATAGACAGATACTGAAAAGCCGAAACGTTGTAATAAATATGGCGACAAAGATGAGGACAATAGTCCGAATAATGTAAATAGTGTACATAACATCTCATCTCAGAAATATAGACAGATACTGAAAAGCCGAAACGTTGTAATAAATATGGCGACAAAGATGAGGACAATAGTCCGAATAATGTAAATAGTGTACATAACATCTCATCTCAGAAATATAGACAGATACAAATACAGTGTTTAGTGATTAATACGGTTTGAACCATTGATATAGCTTATTTGGGATCATAACGTTTCGAATGTGGGTACAGACGCAGTCAGAAAAAAAGTTAATATTTATCTTTCGTATATAACACCCGCCTATCTTTACGGTTTAAAAATCTGAAAAACTTTGCGCATTATACATAGATAATTACGGTACTTAAGTTAAGCGTTCAAGCTTCTATAGTTTAACAATGATTAACAAGCCAGACTTTTAAGCTGTTATCGACGGTTTCGATCCTTATTAGATACCTCATTATTACAACTCTTTGCCACGTAAAGCGAGGTTTAATAAATATTTAATTAGTTTTATCGTTGGAAACTGTGAATAGAATGAAATGGCACTGCATTGTAGTTGAGATAATTTTAATTGCGTATTTTCTATCGGCGCCAGTGGTCGATGTTCAAGCCTACGTAAATCAGGATTTTGAATCCTGATCTTTAACGCAATCAAACTCCCAGCACTTCAAAAAATAATACGGCGCAATTTTTATACCATGCGGTCTTCTGTTATTTCTAGCTTATTAAATATCAATAAAAATTGTGAGATAATTGTTTAAGTAAATAGGATCTCAGCGACCGAGATTAACAAATATTAGACTCAATGTATACAAAACTGTTAAATATACAATTTGCTTGTAGGCCTTTAAGGTGACCGAAGATTTTGTTCGCTTCATTTCAACATTCTGTTAGGTTTAGAACGCTTTATCCTACATATTCTTTCTTTCATTATAAGGCTGTCTCATCTTTAGGTATTTTGCCAAATGTCTTGTCAATGGCATGTCACGATTGTTGGGGAAGAATGAGGTAATCACGTCAAAAATTCCTCTTTAATACTAGTACTATATAAACGGGTATGGTTTTATATTACTTGAGAGTTTTTCGTACCTCATCCACGATGGCATGTTCGATACGTGATTGCAATTAATCTGCCCCTCGTATAGGGGTGTAGATCCATAAATTGCTCAAGATTCTACGGTATTTTCCTTTTGGGTTTCATAAGATCAGGGATTAATCTTACTCTTTTAAATGTAATAGAGAGATGCGGTCTCTGGAGCTGAAAACTACTATATTGATTATTATCCCAGCCCCAATGACAGTAATGCCTTGCAGGGCCCAGTGAGTATATAACTTCATGTCACTTGAGGAGGAAATGTATACCACTAAGTAAACCTCCACATTGCCTCGGAGATGCCACGAAGGACCCACTGTGGTATCAAGAATTACTTAGATCAAGAAAACAGATATCCAAATGATTCGAAAATGACATTTACTGAAGAGTAACTCATGGCGTACAATGAATAAATAAAATAAATTAAAAAAAGGAAATTTACTTACCATCGCAAATTCTTTCCAGTAATTGCGACCGAATAGTTTCTAAATCGTCGTAAGATGGAACTTTAAATAAGTGTTCGGTGGCAGGGGAACTGCACAGCATTTTAATTTCTTCTGCTGAAAAAGCTTCTCCGACTGCGATGACAAAAAGTTCGATACCCTGTGATCTGGCTCTCTCGGCCTCGTCTAAAGCAGAAACTGGGTCTTCAGATCCACTGTCCACAACGATAATCCCGATCTTTTTGGCCATGGTGCGCTTCCCGTTCGCCATTTCAAAACCATGACGTCGCAATTTGTAGATGAGTTTAGCCAAATCCGAAGATTTAAGTTCAAGGCTTTCGAGAACTGCATTTTTATCTTTATGGGCACTGAATGAGAAACCCGATGTGCGGGGGCAGTTATTTGAAAGCAGACCTACTTGGATATGTTCGGGATCGATATCGAATTCTTTAACAACAGACTTGATGAAATTAAGGGTCTGTTTGGTACGGGAGACGCCGGCATTAGCAGAATCATGAGCAAAGAGAACATCAGCTGGTTGTCTGGTACCACAACCTAAATCAGAAAAGATTAATGCCAGTTTAATTTGAATTAAAGCAATGCTTATTTACTATAGAAGTGTACACTGTGCAATGTTTATGGACGCGGAAAGTGTCGAGTTCGAATTCCAGCCAAGGCTGTTGTGTTCACTTTCGCACAATTACTCTTGGGATCTATGTCTTCTGTCCTCTTGGAGACAGACCGACCTTTTTAGCTTTGGTTGGTAACCAGCATAAGGAAAACTCTTAATCCAATACTGGTTGGGATTATGGCTCCACCCTGTAAAAACCCTATTTGCTATAGAAATAACAGCTTCAACGCCTAGCATGTTGAAGTTGTGGCCCCATGTTCTATTGGGAGTCTGCAATGTTCAAAATAATAATGCTGTCTGGAAAGTGGTATTGGCACTGGTGGTGTAGTGATGTCTACAATGTTAACACACAACAATGAGTATTTATTAGCTGAAACTAGCCCCCAAAATACTTCCAGGTAATTAATACAGTGTGTCCATAAAGTTCGTGCGCACTTTAAAAAAAATATAACTTTATTTGTATTTGCGATAGAAATAATCTGTAAAAATGTTATAAAGTTTAATCTACCTAGTTTTAAGTATAGCTAAAATAACTAATGTGATTTCAGGAATTATTGTAAATCAGTTGGCAAATGTTTTCCATGAACTGCAAAATCGTATTACACTTTGTATTGCTAATGATGGAGGACATGTGGAAATTTAAATAAAATTTCAATAAAACCTTAAAAAATATAGATTTCTTTCTTAATTCTTTTTACAAATTATTTCTATCGCAAATACAAATAATGTTATAATTTTTTAAAGTGAACACGAACTTTATGGACACCCTGTATATGATTAATAAACACAATGCATAGCTAACCAATTTGTATTTACCGATATTCGTCTTTTTATCTGAGTTGCTTTTATCTTATATGTCTCAAGATTTTCCGATAAGCAAAGTTTGGCCAAACACCTTACTGTAGAATAAATACTTAGTAAGCATGAGCATTACTACTGTATTGAGTTTGATATTTATTTATCAGGTGCCCACTCACACGTAACTTTGTATTTAAGTTAAGATTGATAAATATAAGTAATAAACACTATATATTATTGTTGTTATATTGTTTATCAGCCACTTGTGTAACCACTGATTTTAGCTTGAAGATGTGGTTCCACTGAACAATGCTGAGAATATCATGGACAGAATATGTGAGAAATGAGGATGTTTTAAAGAGAATAGGAACCACGAAGAAGCTGCTAATAATCAGAAACAGACGGTTTAATTTGTTGGGATACACAATGAGAAAAAGAAGGTTTAGAAAATTTAACACTCACAGGGCATAACGAATGCAATTTAAGAAGGAGAAAACAACGAGTGACATTATGAGTTTGTGGGAATGAAGACGAAGCAAAGACAAAGAGAGATGGTAGAGGATCATAGGTCACTGAGAAAAACAAAGTGAAAGCTGTGGAGAGCCATGATCATCTATGTCCCGAAAAGACAAATAAGTTAATAGAAATTAAGATATGCCAAAAATAGAACAATAGTTAAATTCGCGGATCGTATTTCGTTACTTTGATCCATGTCCTGCTATTATTATTCTTTCAATAATAATGATAATAATAAGGGAGAATTACAGAAACACTCTCAATAGATTTAGACTTTATCACAAAGGTTAGGGAACTGGAACAAGATGAAGTCTATAAGTACCTAGGAATTAGCGAAGGAGATGGTATACAACATATCCAAATGAAGGAGAAGGTAAAAAAGGAGTGTGCGTCTGGTACTAAATACCGAGCTAAATTCAAAAACAGAATATCAGCCATAAACACCTTGGCTGTCCCTGTGGTGCAATACAGCTTTAACATCCTTAACTGGACTATAGCTGACATTAAGTGAATGGACGCCAAAACGAGAAAGCTTCTCACTTGCTACCGCATACATCATCCCAAATCTGATATTGATCGTCTGTATGTGCCCAGATCCGAAGGAGGCAGGGGATTAGTTCAACCAAAACTATCCTACAAAACTACAACAATTGACCTTCAAAGATACCCGGAAACTACAGAAGACTTGGGGGATGATAAGTGTTAAGAAGATGAAAATAGTAAGCGTTTTTATTCTATAATAAAGGAAGCCAACAAGTTCAAAATGGAGTTTCAAATGGGTGCAGAAATACAAGCACAATACACCGACTAAAGCTGCAAAATACATAAAAAAGAAAGCAAAGACAAATGCAACCGACCAGATACAGAAACAATACTTTGCTCATACCAAACAAGCTGATGGAGACAAACTCCATACCCATCAATAGCTACGCAGTGCAGGGTTAAAAGCTGAAACTGAAGGTTTTATCCTTGCTGCACAGGACCAGTGCTTGTTAACTAGAAATTATCAAGCACACATATTAAAATATTATGTTAGCCCAAAATACAGATTCTGTGATAAATATCCAGAAACTATTGATCATCTTGTATCAGGCTGAATATTACTGGCACCCACTGAATATAAAACCCGACATGACAGAGTGGGTCAATATCTGCACTGGAAAATTTGAAACTTTTACGGGAAGGAAATGGAAAGAAATTGGTATGAACATCACCCAGACCCGGTTAAGTATATAGGAACTGTTAGAGTTTTATGGCACTATTTAATACACACATCCAGAACAATCAAAGTTAACCGCCTAGAAATTGTTATTAGAGACCACAAACAAAAACGGTGCCTCCTTATTGATATGGCAGTTTCCGTAGACTGCAAGGTATCTTTGAAGATCTTCAAAAAGCTATCAAAATACAAGGACCTTGAAATCGAAATCTCAAAAACGTGGCTCATGGGAACATTAACAATCTCTGTTGTAGGTGAAGCCCTCGGATTGATTGGAAAAGATTCCAATAGACTAATTGAAGGGATTCCTAGAAGCCCATGCCTGAAAAAAATACAAAAAAATGTTCTCACGAGTATAGACCATGCCTTACGAAGGGCTTTATCTATGTAAAATATGTTTGTATTTTGTTTTTTTTTTGGTGGCGGGGGGCAGTGGAAAATGTTATAATGCCATTTCTAACCTTAGGTCTCTGGGCGGGACCCGGAACGAAATGTGTACACACCAGAAATCAAAGGAAATAAAATAATAATAATAATAATAGTACAGATCTGTTTGCGAGTTGTCTGCTTTTAACCATTTGGACATGTTCTATAAGTGCTGAAGCACTGTGTAACTCTGTTCAGGAACAGGAGTTTTATTATTATTATTATTGTTATTATTATTATTATTATTAATATCGAATCGTTACACTCCACCCATCCAGTGTTGAACACAGAGCGTTGCCAGAAGTGTTAATGTTTCAAGGTCGTTATGTGTGCATGAATCTTCAAGATTGGGGCAAACTAGAAGATGCTCCATAGTTTTTCATTGCTCGCATTGGCAGTTGGGACATGGGGCATGTCCTAATTTCTGAATTTTGGCTCTACAGCGACTCACAGCTGTTCGGAGGCGATTTAGGTAGGACCAGAAGGGCCAATCATCACTGGAGCCAGTAGGAGGGATTCTGTAGGGCTTGGAGAGAGCCTGTATTCCATGTTCTTAAGTTGGTTGCACCACAGGGGCAGACACCGGCTAGGAGCTATGTTGTTTAGTGGTTCGACTAAATGTACAAAGCCGTCTCTTGACTTGAGCCCCTTTGTCATTAGTTCACGGGCGTGGAGCGGATGACGAGGGTTATTTTTTGTTTCAACTTCTCAAGTTGGGAGTGGACTGTCCTTCTGATGTAATTAGGAGCGATGCCACTAAGCAAGTCGAGGTCATTCATTTTGCAGGAATAGTGGAGAAGATCATCATATCCGGGTGTCGAGAGATTTTTTTTAAGTTTGAAAGATGAGGCAGCCAAGATGACTTAGGAGTTACAACTAACTGCTTGGGAACACCTTCAATTGGAGACCGTCTCAGTAGACTGGGCTACTCGACAATGGTATTTCTAACTACGATCCCACCTGCGTTTATCGAAACCTGTCACCATATCGTGCTCATTTGGCTGTGATGCAGGTGCCCAGTATACTCTTAGACTGGTTATCGTGATTTGTACACTGAGCTCCGTATACTTGTACCCCAGTGTCACTCTGTTGGCGGCTGCTATGACTGACTTCCTTGTCAAGTGTATTATGTCTAGCTAGTGTACTACCAAGTAGACAAACGCATCCACGACTTCTAATTTTATTACCCTTGACGTAGATTGATGGTGAAATATACATACATATCTTTTCTTCTATGCAACACGCATCGTGGACAATGTTTTGTCTCCATTTTAAATAACATGGGTTTTGTTCACTGGAGCGTTATTGTTTTTACAGTAATTGTTTGGGATTGATTAATTTGTTTTTACGGCTTATCAACCCTTTGTAGTTTAATAAAGTCGAAATATATATTTTTGGATTGTAAGTATAATTTATTTTTTTGCAAGTGAATATTGCATTAGCATCTTTGCAGATAACAATGATTTTTCCAGATACAAGACTTACTATTTAACCTATAGCTGGGAGAGAAGATATGGATTCATATATTTCCCATCGGTAAGCGCATAATAATATAATGAACCCGAGTTGAATTCGAACTCTGCTCTACGATTTCTCATTCTGTGTCGATATCCATTACACCATCCACATTCAATTGTTTGGGAAATACACGAATCCACTTCCCTTACAGTTATTGGTAAATAGTAGGATAGCTAGAGCTCTTTCGTCATGTAAGACCGTCCAGCGAACAGAAGGTTTAATTGCAAAAAAAAAAAAAAAAAAAAAACAAACAAAAAAAATCCCAAAAAACAAACAAAAACAAAACAAAATGAAAATGGGGAAAGTTAGGTATCAGGTCAGAATCCATAAAAAGAAAAACAAACAATAAAATCTTTTATAGTTTTGGGCGTTTCAAAATGCGAAGATAGGCTGAACAGATGAGGTTTGTTATCATACACTTCCCTAGTGATTTCATTTTCAAAAATTGTTTTCTTTAGTGACCAATGCTACAAAAACGCCTCCGCGTGCGCATATATAAGTCTGTATAAGTAAATATAATGCATGCATATCTGTATATATATATATATATATATATATATATATATATATATATATATATATATATATATATATATATATATATATATATATATATATATATATATATATATAAAGAAATATCGTCTTAAGATGTGCTATATTTATGAGATAAAGTGCTCAATATCAGAGATAGAGCATGTGTAAATATAAATGTGAACATAGAAGTCAAAACTTAGAGGCGACAGTCTGTTTCATGCTAGATGCGATGGCCTGAGTGTTGCATCTAGTATGAAACAAAAAAAAAACAGACTGTCGCCTCTAAGTGTTGATTCTATATTCACTATATATATATATATATATATATATATATATATATATATATATATATATATATATATTCATGCAAGAATTTGTGCATATGTAAATATCTAGGTATTGCTAGTTCGTGTGTAGTTTATATTGAGTCAGCTTAATGACGTCAACACTTGGATTATTTAATGTCGAATATATGTCTTATAGGACAAAAATCACTCTGAATTGATAGATAGGTTTGGTTTACACATGAGTCAAAAGGTAGACATAGGCCCGGTTTGAACTAGAATAAAAAAAAAATAGACAAAATCCGGATTACATGAGTGAAAAAGGTAGAAACAAATCCGGTTTACATGAGCCAAAAAAGTAGACATTTCACTGGTTTACACTGGAGTCAAAAAGATCAACATAGGCCCCGTTTACATCAGTAAAGAAGTATGGTTTACACTACTGTCAAAAAGGTCAACATTGGTCCGATCTATACTGGAGTCAGAAAGGTAGACATAGGTCCAGTTTACACGAATCAAAGCGTCAAATTTGCACTAGATGCTAACGATAAGTGTATTGTCACTTGTTTCGTCCTCTAGGTACCGATCATGGCTTTCCACAAATTCATGCCCTTTGAGCTCTTAATAAATTTCGTTTTTTTTGTTATCTCTCCTAAAATTTGTTCCGCCATCCATATATTCAAGCTCGCTAGGTAGGTTATGCATTGTTTTCCTCTGGCTCTCTTGCCTTCAAGCTGTCCCTGTGAGTATCAAATTTTTAAAGCTCTTTTTCCTTATTAGGTACCCTAGAAATTTCATTTGTCTCTTCTTGATGTTAAGTATACGTGTCATTTTTGCTTCCATTTTGTTTCAAACTTCGTCGTTGCTCACGTGTTCGGTACATGGTATTCTTATCATCCTTCTGTAGAACTACATTTCTGTTGCTAATGTTCAGAAATTCTCCAGCGAAATATCTTAAATTTAAACTATATTTCAGGATGATAATGCACCTAGGTGCCTTGCTATGGAACAATTTTCAGCGAGTTCACCTAAAAATCTATTAATACTGTAGGAAATTTGATTTTCTCACGTCTGCAGCGTTCGTATTGTATTAGGCTAAGCTTAGTAACTCTTACACACACTTTGAAAAGCATGTTAAATTATTTATTTTTGCATTTATTATCCATATTGTATTAATAATATCTTGTCAGTGTTTGCAATGAAACAGCCTTTTTTCTGTTAAAACTAATGAGATGGTAAGGTTTATTATAAGGGAGTGGTTTGTCTAAGTGCTCACTCACCCACTCTCTTCATCCAGCATCCATCGAGGGATATAAACGATAAGACATTTTTTCTAAAGAAATATGTTGCGACAAAGGAAAGAAGTAGATTCATGCATTTTTAATTGTTTAGTGAACACAAACAACCTCAGCTGGAATTTGAAACCGGTTTACTGATTCTGTTTATCATGCTATCGCGCACATCCACATGCAATGAATAAAATATGAGGAGGAAACACTGAAAGAATATAAGACGCTTTTTTTCAGAATTTTTTTTCTTTTAGGAAATCTTTCGTTTTTGTTTACTTTTATTCAGCAATTTTTAAATGTTTTCTTTTTGTTTCTTTTTTAGCTAAGAAAACGAGAAAAGCTGAGTTAGATGTTCGCAATTTTCAAAAGCATTGCATTTATTTTGCTATTTAATTGGATTTACTTTATCGGAATGTAAGTAACACAAGAATTTTTGACGGAACATCAAGTATTAACTTACCGGCATCAGACACAGGGATTGGAGACGGTTCAGCTGTTAGGAAAAAGAAAACCAAAATTTTAATAACACTGGATTACGTGAATTACAACGTTTCAAAACACAATACATTTAAAATTTATAAATAAATTCCAGCGAGCTAATTATATGCAGGAACAGCACTTACCGTAATTCCCCATGTATAATATGCCTTCATCCATAATACGTACCCCTAAAATTGTGCTGAAAGTGTGGGAAAATGCTTCTATTCACGCATAATACGCATCCCTTGTTTGGTAATCAAACCTTATAAATTGTATCACTCCAATTTCATTACGGTCAGCGTTTCCTACTCTTATAGAAATGGTTTTAAACATAGAATAATACCATTCTAATTTAGTTTTATGATAATTCTTATTTTATTTTACATTTTTAAGTATTGTTAGGTACATATGATTGTATTTGACATCCTTATGGGGTTGCAATCGCCGAATGTTAGTATCAAAATGTCGTACGTTTGTGGTGAGTAGTCATTTTGCAACTGAAATCGACCTATGAAACGGCAATTTTTTAAAGATTTTTTTTTAGCTGTGCATAATACGTACTCCTAATTTTGCTTATTATCTTTTAGAAAAAATGCGTATTATACATTGGGAATTACAGTATGCCATATTTATTTTTTTACGTTTAATAATCAACTTTACTCGTGGAAGACGTCATATAATAACACACTTCGTGTAATAAATTGTGGCATCTCTCTCTCTCTCTCTCTCTCTCTCTCTCTCTATATATATATATATATATATATATATACATGATAAATCGCTCGGTGTTGAACCACGGTTCTTATTAATCTGTTCGCTAGATTGATAATGCCAAATGGGCATAGGTAGATAGTAGAGATGTCCGATAAGTAATCTAGAAGCATATCTATATGACATAAGCGATATATATATATATATATATATATATATATATATATATATATATATATATATATATATATATATATAGGCAATCATGTAGTAATAGTAGGTTTCTAGATATTCCGTTTCATTATTATCTGCGAATTGCCATGCTTTCTTGGGGAGAACTGTGGAATAGTTTATCTTTATCTTTTTCACGGTTCTAGGTTTCAGTTTTTCTTCTTATAGACTGGTTACCTGCCAAGGCTTTTAATGGTACTAAATTAATAGATTTTGTGGGGGTTGGGCAATGACTATTTTTGTCGAAGACAGGTAGACGATCATGTTGGTTAATTGTCAAGCAGCAAACAGGTTCAAATAGGAAGTGTCTAAAATTGGTCACCTTAGAGATATTGTTTTATTGATCATTCGGTTATTTTATTACATAACAGGGAAAAAATTATTTCAAAGTTCCACACCTAAAACTGTGGAATGAGATTAAGCAAACATAATTAAATTGGAATTCTCTGATTACAACGAATGCCTGCTTGTGCATGTGTGTGGTCTGAATATGTATGTCATTAAGCAAAATTTGTTTTTGAGGAGGAAATGTGTGACAGCGCCATGTATGTTCAGAATATTGAATGTCTATTGCTATTTATGTAATATTATTCCAGCAGGATAATGCCCGTCAACATATGCCCTTACTACTCAACATGCTCTGCAATGTATTCGGCAACCTCCAAGGTCAGCAAAATCGGTGGACTTCTTCTTAATTGGGTATATATAGAACATGATATGTTGCTGTTGTTATTCTATGTGCCGTATTCCCTTCAGGACGTGTGCGAACATAGTCCTCTACAATTTTCTGTCCTTTGTGCCTCATAGTAAATATTGCCTTTTCGTTACCTCTCCTAATCGTTATCTCAATATAGAACGAGAAACTATATATATATATATATATATATATATATATATATATATATATATATATATATATATATATTAGAACGTTCGCTTTCTGACCATGAGATTCAAGTTCGAATCTCACCACGGTTGATTTGTCAGGAAGTAGACATCCTGATGTTATCGGTCTGGAGAGGAGACGATCCCACCGAGCAGCACCTTTGGAAAGTGCCTTAAAACCATACCACGGGTTGACCCAAGCCTAGTGAATGAAATTGGATAGAGAGAATCCTTGGTAGCCGTCGATAGTTGTGCTAGCATGAAGTTACAAGTCATCGTAACCGAGGGTTTGAGTGTGCTGGCCTTGTTCAGATTGTTGATCACGTTAGATAACACGCTCTCTCCCAGAAACTATAGCTAAGGTCTGCTCAGCATAGTTGCAGTATAAGCCACAGGTTGGCTCTATGCGTGTTGGACAAATACAAATGTGCCTGAGAGAGCGTCTGCAATAGGGATTGGCTAACCGCCTAATAGACGAGTATACTCGAATAATAGTGGCCAGGTGTTATTATATATATATATATATATATATATATATATATATATATATATATATATATATATATATATATATATATATATATATATATATATATATATATATATATATATATATGCATGTTTCATTAAAAACGACGGACACGGTACTACGGTTAAGCTTTTTATTTAATTTTTCTTGTGTTCGGACAAGAGCTTTCTTTTCTGGACAAAGAGTGTGTAAAAACTGTCCAAATATTTTATAGTTCCGAGCGCTTTCGGCTATAGCTTCAGCCATTATCAAGGATGAATCGATTTTTCAGCTTAATTAAGTGTGTGCATTATATGTATGTTTTAGTGTGTTGTAGGGGTGTTTTAATTTCCGAATACGGTTAGCACATTGTGGCCTTGTTTGTAGTTAATATTGTTAAGAGTTGGCTCTTTATTTTTTATTATTAAAGCTTCCATTAATTTTATCGGTTACACAACCAACTTATCCAGACGTCTTGTGTTACACCTATCTGATCACAGCTCCATTAGAACCCATTTAAACACATACACAAACTTACCAGATTCCATTAGAAACATACTAGTAGAAAACACAAATATAATAACTGCATCCACCTGTGAAAAAAGATTAAAAATAATGGAAGCGGTTTTGCATGTAGCTGTTTTCTGTATTACAGTTTGCTTTGCATTGGAGACACCGTGTGGCTGAGTTACCTCTCTTGCAGTGAAAATACTGGTTTTATTATGACAATATGGGATTGATGTATAATGTTTACGAAATCGGGAGTTATAAAGACCTACTCCGTGAGAAAGCCGAGTGCAGCAATGATAATTAGAAAAATATATTTAGAATATCGTAATCTCTGACTATATGGGAAAACTCCATAGAACACATTATTTTTTATTTTTAATCTGTGAACTGCCATGACTTCTTAGCAAAGATAGTTGAGTGATTTAATGTTGTCTTCTCCATAGTTTTGAATTCAGGGGTAGTCATTCTCTTAGGCTAGTTGTTTTTAGAAAAGTAATGGATTCATGTCTTTCCCCTTTGAAAAAATGAGTGTAATAGATAAGGCAGAAATTTAAACATCTCCGCGATGATTTTACTTCCCGCATCGATAATTGTTACTCTGCTTCCAGTTGAATCCCGGATCCTGATATTGGGTTTAAATTTGTGTTCAGATAAATTTATGTAAAATATATTTTTTTCAGTGACAGAGAGAGAAAGAGAGAGAAGGTGAGAGTGAGAGAGAAAGATGAGTGAGAGAGAAATACAAAATAATACAATAAAAGATACAAAATAAACTATAAAACATATAACACCTAAAAATAAGCTATACAGTATAAAAGACCTAAAATAGTTTCTACCGCATGGGATTCGTAGCAACCCCATAATTATGCTATTATATAAGCGAATAGAACAGAAAATAATTAATAAAGGTATATTTACCGCGGCAAATCTTGAGAACAAGATCTTGAAGGATTTTGGCAGTGTTGTTATAATTATCCATGTGGAAATAATGATCAAAAAACTTCTGACCGTCAACAATGCTTTCCAGTTCAGGTGTCGTCACTTCCGGTCCGATTCCGACAGCGTACATTGTGATGCCTGCCCTGGTAGCAAACAGCGACTCTTTCAACGTCTGTTCCCGATCGTCTGATTTGCTTCCTGTGATTACCAGTCCGACGTGAGGAGTGTTCATATCTAACCTCAGCAGCGACCGTCGGAAGCTACGTGTACGCATGTATTTGATGGCCCTGTTGATCCGTCCGCGGCCTTTGATTTGCCGCTCGTGTTTCAGGATGTCGATGATATCCTGCGTATTGTTGTGTTGGTTGATGTCGAAAACGGACTCGACACGGCGGCCGAATTTCAGGAAGCCCACCCGCGTTGCTGAGTTCGACACGTCAAAGTACTGGAAGAGTTTTTCGATGAATTTCATTTGCAATTTAAACTTTTCTTTGCTGACTCGATCAGTGGCGTCAGCAGCTATCATCAGGTCAATAGCTTTTCCCTTACACACTATATGGGAATCAAAAGAAAAAAAAATTAAGATCCTCAATAGCACGTGAGAAATTGTTTAAAGTCTAGTAAATTTTAAGTAAAGTAAACGAAAAGTCATAGCGAAATAGGAAAGAAACTCCAATTCTTAAGGTTTATTAATACCAATATCCGTATCTTAAAAACGTTGTTTTTTTTTCATTGGATTTATTTAACCTATACAACTAAACAATCCCAAGAGAATTAAAAGACACATCATAATTAATCATTGGCAGATATAATCTTAACAATGACAGAATCAGAAGGACAACTGAAATGTCTCTTAGATGAGTTAGCTATGGAAAGCAAGATGAAAGATTAACTTAACTTACAGCTATATCACGTTGAAACACCGGTTCTCATACGTTCACCGAAGTTAAGCAACGTCAAGCCTGGTTAGTAAATAGATGGGTGGCCGCTTGGGAATACCAGCTGCTGGATGTGCAGGTGGTGTAATATATAACGGCACGGAACTGGAAATCGGAGAGTCGAGTTCCAATTCTAGTCGGGTTGGTTATATTCACTTACGCACAAATACCTTTGGGAAAGGTATGAATCCACCTCTTCTCTCCCCAGTATGGGTTAATTAGTAAGACTTGTATCACTAAATCATTATTATCTCAAAAAAATTCTTACAATCTAAAAATATTTTCTGGCTTTAAATAACCTACAAAGGGTTGACAAACCGTTAAAACAAGTCAAACAGTTAACAACATAAGATCCAAGAATGTCACTGTGGTGATGGCAGACATAAAGAAAAGAACTATTAGACAATTTAGTATTGGAAATCAAAAAGTCAGGATGAAATATAAACTGTATCAACACAGAATGAATGGTGGTCAGCAAAAGAGACAGGCCGAAGCGTTTGCTACGGATTGGAGACGTCAAAATCAAGACATTTAATTTAGAAATTAGAAATTGAACTTTTATGGGTGATTTGAGTAACAGACGATAAAAAATGCGACGCAGAAATCCGAATGTACATCAAAATTAAGAAAATTATTAAGAGACAAAGAAACTTTTTGCTAGAAACATAAAAAAGAGCGCTGAATGGTATATGGAAAAAATGAATTGAGCAAGTACACCAAAATAGAAAGATGCATACAGCAAGGATGAGTCTCCTTGCAGAATTTATTCAATTTTTAGAGTGAGGCAATCCTAAGAGAACTAGAAGTTCTATCAGGATTTATTATTGGTGGGCACAAATTTAACAACATAAGGTACGCAGATGACACAGTGTTGATGGAAGAAGCAAAAGAAAAACTAGATGACTTCCTAGACACAGTCTTAAAGGAAAGTGAGAAGAAAGGACTAAACAAAAAGAACAGTCCAAGACGAACTACGAATTGGGGGTGTGTGTAAATCTCTCAATTACGAAAATCTAGGAAGGGTTTTAACAGAGGATGGAAAATATGAAAGCGAAACCAGAAGGTGCATTGGAATAGTGAAAGATGCCTTCCAAAAGTTAAGCAAAGTATTAAGAAACAGGACATTTTCATTAGAAACAAAGAAAAGAGTGCCAAACTGCTATGTCATATCAGGCCATATCATATGGCGGTAAATGTTGAAGAAATGATATGGTTCTACCAGTGAATGCTAAAAATACCATGGACAGAGCAGGTGAACAACGAATAGGGGTATAGACACCGTAGAGCAGAATAGCTTCATTAGGTTAACACTGAGTAAAATTAGCTTTATCAGGATATGGTACTTACCACTGGTGACCATTTCGTCCATACTTGTTGTTGTTGGTAGGGGAGTGGTTGTAGTAGTTGGTGGTAATGTAGTTGTAGTAGTAGCAATTGTAGTAGTAGTCGTAGTGGTAGTCGTTGTTGTCGGTGTAGTTGTTGTTGGTGTCGGTGTAGTCGTTGTGGTCGTAGTAGTTGTTGTAGTCGGAATTGGTGTAGTGGTGGTGGGTAGCGTTGTAGTTGGCCCTGGAAAAGAAATGAGTGATAAAAAATAAAAGCAAAATCCACCAAATTTAGAAGAAAAATGTTTCATATTTAAAAAAGAAAATAAATGGTAGGTTACTGTCGAGGCTAACAATGGAGTCAACTAGCTTTTCTTGGTATTGCTTGAACAGATCAGGTAGCTATTGGAGTTCTCATTCACTCATTCTCTTTTACATTAGCTATCATGTCATGCCAGTAACGAGAGTGTAAATTGAAGTGCATTCATATCTTTTCTACGATAATATATGTGAAGAGAACATGAACAACCTTAACCGATTTCAGTTTATTAATTCTATTTCACCACCAGCATCTATCTATCTATCTATCTATCTATCTATCTATCTATCTATCTATCTATCTATCTATCTATCTTGGGCTGTTCTATCTATCTATCTATCTATCTATCTATCTATCTATCTATCTATCTATCTATCTATCTATCTTGCCTTCAGTTCATCTTTGGTGTTACAAGGAGTTTTGTTGGTCTTTCGCTCATCTGTGCCCCACACAATAATCAGGGGGGTTGTAGTCTGGGGAGTTAGGCGATCAGATGTAAAGGGTGATGTGATCGCAGAAATTGTCTGACAGCCATGACTGGGTTCTCCTGCTTGTGTGATATGGTGTAGAGTCCTGTTGCCAGACACAGGGTCTTTCAGATGCCACCCTCCTCACCAATATCAGCACTACCTCCGAAAGGCACTTAATATAGGCCTCTGTGTTGAGTCTGAGGCCATTTTTTCTTATCAGGACGTTCAGAGTGAATTTTCCGAGCTGTCGTAGACTCATTCAGCTTTTACCGAATCCTCTGCAATGTCCTCCGATTGACACCCAAACAGTCTGAAATGTTTCTATTTGAGCTTCCGGTGCGAATGCCCAGCTGTACAGCATGCCGTTTCCAAACTTTTGGCGGAGTGAATTGCGTCATGGTGCTTTTTTTCTCACAGACAAAGTAGGGTCAGTTGGGCACTGTCTGTGTCTACTATGTGTAGTCGACAAAATCAAAATCAAACAACGCATAAACATGCGCGAAATTAAAAATATAAAATGGCCTGAATTTACCCATCGTACCCTGTATCTATCAATCTCAGTCTGTTTATATCTATCTATCTATCTATCTATCTATCTATCTATCTATCTATCTATATATATATATATATATATATATATATATATATATATATATATATATGTCTATTAAAAAGAATCATGGTTAAAGCTGGTTATTTAATTTCCTTCCGGAACCTGTAGTTAGTGTTCGAGTCCAAATAAAAGTATCAAATCCTGATTTTTGAGGTAGTAATGCCATTCACACTAGTGATATTAGTACAACTTACTTTTTATATTCTCTTCATATCATTCGTCTATTTACACTATTCCAGAATTTTATATGCAAGAATGTTTCCGTGATAAAATTGATAATATATATATATAATACAATATATATACATATACCTGAATTAATTATTAGATTAATTATTAGATTAATTATTATATTGTTATATATAATTATTATTATATATAATGTTAAATTGTCAATTAATTAAATCAATTATTACTATATTATTATATTATTATTATTATATTATTATTAAATATACTATTAAACTGTCAATTATTAAATTAATTATTATATTATTGTTATTATATATATTATTAAATTGTCAATTCATTATTAATTTAATTATCATTATATTATTATTTAATTATTATTTTATATATATTATTAAATTTACAATTAATTATCAAATTAATTAAATTGCTTTTATGAAATATACTTGAATTATTATTTTACATGATGATAAGGAGTTCTTGAAATATCTCAGTTATCGATTCTGTTAAATTTGCAATAGCTTTTTAAAATTTCTTTTAGCAATCTTTGCTTGGCACAAGAGTTAACCATTAACCAAAGAGGGTTTACTGAGGCGTGCTTATTACTCCTGTGCTATAAGTATCTATCTATCTATCTATCTATCTATCTATCTATCTATCTATCTATCTATCTATCTATCTATCTATTAAAAGTGTCATGATTAAATCTGGTTACTTAATTTCCTTCCGGAACCTATAATTGTATCTAGAGATTCTTGATAAAATCCAAAGAAGAATCTGCAATGTTATTGGTCCTGATCTGGCATCATTTTCCACCGCCATAATATAATTTCCTTGTGGCTTTTCTATAAATATTTTGATGGAAATTGTTCCGATGAACTTTCCTCTTTCCTACTCCGACTTCATGAATTTAAACGCAGTACTAGATTGGCAGCCAGGTCTCATCATTTTACTGTTTAAATTGGGAGATGTAACCGTAAGTTCTATTCTAATAGTTTCTTCTCTCTCGCACTTCTCGCTCGTGAAATTCTCTTCCGGCTTCTTGCTTTCCTATCAACTTCAATATATATGCATTTAAATGCAACGTCATTCGTCATCTTCTTTTTCTTTGAATCTTGATCTTTTATTCTCCTCTCTTCTCAACAACATTTCCTCGGTTTCTTTCATTCTCGGTAACTCCTTGCGTCTTAGTGTCTTTATCTCCTTGCTTGGTGAGAAATGATTAAAAAAAAAAAAAATTAAGCAAGTTCTTACGTGTCGTTGTCTTTCTGGTCGGTGGATCCGTAGCTGCAAAGAAGAAAGAATAAAAGAATTGAATAGTAACACAAGGCAAATGTCTTTTTTAGCAAACAGTATGATACAAATATGCAAGAGAAATAGAAACATTTAGAAACATTTTATTAAACAATTTAAACAAAAGTAAATAAAGTCGATAAATAAAAAGGAAAGACAAGAGAAATAAATGCACTGAATTGTAACTAATCTTATTATTTTTCATTATATAAATAATCTTTAAAACCCTTACACTCTACTTTTATAGATGTGGTAGTTAAAGTACAAATAAACAATGTCACCGGAAAAATACCGGAAGCATTATTTCCAGCTGTTTCTAGCTGGAGGGAGCAAAATATACTCTACAAGACAAGGCCTAAGCAACACGTATACGCATAGTAAAATGATGTGCATATACATTTACGTATCTCTCTCTATTTCCCATCCCTCTTTCCCTATCTGCATGTGTGTGTCTATGTGTCTGTGTGTCTATGTGTGTGTGTAAAAACTCAGATATGAATAAAATATATCCGTAAAAAGACAATATGAATAAAGACAAAAAGAAAACTTTTCTTTACCAACGCGTTTTCTCCTCTTGGAATCAGCACTGCAGGTTGATTGTCATTTTCACACCTCAGTAAGATTTTCAGTCTATATCTATATTTATATGCCACGACTGAATGTGATCTTCAGAATTTGCTTGGTCAATTACATAGTGGCATATTTTTCACGGGCGCAAATCAGTGTTAGAGCCCAGATAAAAGCTAGCAATTCCAATGTTGAGTTTTAACGCAGATATGTCCTACCAACATAGAATATTGGTGTAACACGCAAGGACTTAAAACTAACCCGAAGTCTTTTTTTATATTTGTAATACTACGGTTTCCTGGTCTGATTCAACTCTAACCCTTAACCTTTTATGTAATATATATATATATATATATATATATATATATATATATATATAATTATTTTTTCATATTCAAGCGAAATGTTTCCAAAAAATTTCGCTTGAGGATGAAAACAGACATTTGGCTCTTGTTTTTAAAACATGATAACTCTTATGTAGCGAAGGAATCATATTTAAAAAAAAAATAATTTTAATTATAATTTAGGCTCAACTTTTGTCTTGAGCACTGTTTTTTAAAAATAACAAAAATACTAAAAAACTTCGGATTATTTACCTAACGTGTTCTTTCCCATTTTTCTATATAATTTCACATCACACACACACACACATATATATATATATTAATAAATAGACATATATATACTTCATAGCTCTGTTTAGCTACATTGAGCATTGTTTTGTTTGCATCATGACTTCAGTTAAATAAATATTTATTTGCTTATCTGCGTATGCAAGCTATCACACACATATACAGTTGCTAATATCTCGTTATTAAGTTTTTATTCACACTTATCTCTCTTTCTCGCTCTCTCTATGTATATATATATATATATATATATATATATATATATATATATGGTGTTTTATATATATGTTGTTGCCGAGAGAGAGGCATATTTGCCACTGACATGATAGACCAGTATTCGATAATCGCTGTTGCATTAATAAATTGGAGTAAATGGCTTTCAGAATTGAAGGCTAATATAAATGTAAAATGAATAATAATAAGAATAATAGCCCCAGAAAAAAAAAAAAAAAAAAAAACAAAAAAAAACAACTGATTCCATTTTCTATGAAGAAAGCAAACAGGGGGGATTAATTCGGTGCCAGTGGCTCTGCTGTAGAAAGCAACGGAATAACCCCGCCCAAACTGAAGGGTAACAGGAGTCAGTAATGCCAGTTTTATTAGGGTTGCCGCTTTTGCTTGAGTTGCACTGATGAGGTGATAATTACAGTCAATTAGTTTGCTTTAATAAAACAAACACTGAAAATGAGACGGATTTTATTTGTTTCATTAAGCTATTAACCCTTTCACTGCTACATTTTGTTATCGCATTGTTTCCTGGCTGCGCTGGGAAAATAAGAAATTACCATTTACTGGAAGTGACTCTGAAACGCTGACGGCGATTTCTTATGAGTGCTGCCATTTTGATTTCGAATCGGATACTCTGATGTACAAAGCTAAATAACACCGCCTGCACATAATATGATAAAAATACGACACAAAACAGGTCTAACTGTACGTTGATATATGTTAGGCCGACCGACATTTCACAGGTTTTTTGAAATGCAATTTCGCAAAGGTGTATGTCAACAGCAGTTAATCTCTTTTTTAAGGCATTTCGCATAAGATTTATTAGCATAATACTGATTATCAACGTTTTAATTTATCTTATGCACATAATGTTTTTATTACTCCAAACGTTATTTTTAGTGGATACCTGTGTTTTAAATAGATGCCCCGTTTTCATTTCTATTTTAAGCAGTATGTATTGCTCTATCGACCTGCACGTTCGAGAAAATATGCTCCCCAGCAAGGTCTGGATTTGCGTTCCGGTGGTTTCTCCTAAAGTGGGACGCAGGTTCGAACCCTGCCGGAGATTACATTTTCTTTATTAAGCTTTCTCGAGTGCGCAGGCTGGTAGACGTCATGTACATTGTTTTAAAAAAAACGGGACGTCTATTTTAAACACGTGTTTCCACTAAAAGAAATAACGTTTGAAGTAATAAAAATGCCGAATTAAAAATAAATCCTTTAATTCTTTAGAAATTGCATGTAATGTTTGCAATTATCTAACATTTACATACACAGAACTCACAAGTACATACGTTAGCGAACCTCCTTGAGATCCTGGTTTTTATCTCAGCAGGGTTGGTTTGTCAATGAGATGACTTAGGGAGACGAACCCAGCATGTTGCACTGTTGAGAAGTGCTTGAAAACCATATCTGGGATTCATTCAATCTTTGTGATTGAAATTGGGTAGTTGAAACTGCTCGGAAGTCGTAGATGGTAGCACGAAGTCACAAGTCATCGTGACTGAGGGTTGCGGAATCACGAGAGTCACAAGTCATCGTTACGGATGGTTTGAGTGCACCGGCCTTGTTCAATTACTGATCACCCGCATTGTGTGCTCATCCAGAAACTGTAACTAAGGTCCGCCTAGCATTATCGCAGTACATGCAACAGGTTGGTTAAGTGTATATTGAAGAAACACAAATGTGCCTGAGCAGGTGTTTACAACAGGGATTAGCTAGTGACTCTGGCAGACGGACATACTCGGAAACGAGTAGGCCAGCCATTATATTGATCTAACAAAAGATAATGTTCATAAAAGTTAAAGGTAAAGTCTGTACTACGTTATATCAGGCGAGATGTTTGGCTAGCACTTCCTATATATGTAAATATTATTCTCTCATATAAAAGTGTATTTGTATTTTTGTGCGTATCTGTTTATTTGTACGTCATTTAATATGTATGATTATAAAACGTGAGAAAACGTCTACATTGCATACTTAGACATTAGAAGCGGTTACAAATAAAACTTACTATTGGTTTTATATTGAAATAAAATTTGATAATTCTTGATTCCTCTAAATGAAGGTCAAGCGACAATCTTAGGAGTACGTAAGTATATTAATAAGTTTTCAGCTTAATAATAATAGTAATAATAATAATAATAATAATAATAAATATTTAGTTTGTGCAAAAATATTTTTCAACAAAATTTCCTTCCTTGACAATGCCATTAATTCAGCGGTAAATAATAATCATAAATATCAAACATTATACAGTGAGAGTTTCAGGTCAAGATTCGTTCTATAAGTATGTGTCAGGCTACTTACTTATTGATCCATCTTTGTAGATGAAGAAGTTTGACTTCATGAAAAGTTTGTGGTAAAACAATAACAGAAGCAGGGAAGTGAATAGTTAATGACGTTATTAAATTAGTGACGCTGGTTGCAGCAGAGAGAAAAAATGACTTCGACAAAGGAGAAGAAAGAGGCAATAAACAAGATGAGAGGTGGTTAGAGACAAAAAAAAAAAAAAGTAAAAAAAAAAAGAAAAAAAAGAAATCAAAAGAATGCCCTGGAAGTTGGTTATAATCTGACTGGGGAAACAACAACAATAATAATACATTTTTAAATATGTTTCGGATATTTTTTCACTCTAAATAATATTATTTCTGCTTGACACTATTATATATGAAACTCACAATGATGATGACCTCGACGATAACGATAACGTTTGCCTATACACACTTTTTATTGTCTAGTTGTTTAGACGCCACGTGGAAAGCAATTGTATAGCCGGCAACCATTGATAAAGAAATATATTGTTTCCTTCAGAGATTCTTTCATTAAATTATCTGGCCAATAAAATGTAATACTAGCATAATCAATATATATATATATATATATATATATATATATATATATAGGCGTAGGCGATCATGTATTTTTCGATAGATGACTGACGAGGCAGATTTTTTCCCGCAGTAGGTTTCCATTTCTTTCTGCGGTAGACCAGTTTCCATCCGAAGAAGAGGATTCATACCTTTCCCAAGGGTATTAACACTAAGTGAATATAATGGATTCGACTAGAATTCGAACCAGAGTCGCTATCCATTACTCCACCGTGTCTCCTCTTAAAATGGTGCGCAAATAATAAATACTAAATGGTACGCTAAGATATTAGATAATGGTTATATGCTCATTCGAAGAAAAGAAACCTTGCTTGACGTTCCTTATAGGTACCCTGATTTTGCCTGTGTAAAAGTGGACGCGTTCATTAAATCTCTCTCTCTCTCTCTCTCTCTCTCTATATATATATATATATATATATATATATATATATATATATATATCACTCATTTATTTATTTATTTATTTATTCATTTATTTATTTATCTATCTATCTATCTATCTATCTATCTATCTGTTTTTGTATCGTAGATTAAAAAAATGTACTCTACAGCCAATAGAAAGATTTTTGTTCTATTTTGAGTACAAATTTTTCATTGTAAATAAATATCATTAATCATTTTACAATAACCAAACAATTATTTTAAGCGCAGTTTAAATCCCGGAATATATATATATATA